TGGTATGTGGCAAAATCATGACCATTGGATGTGGGGGTTTTGGTTAGTTTTTAGATTATAATTTTTTGTGTTCTTTTTGCCAATTTCCCTTCATTTTGGTGTATAATCAAACAAAAAAAAATTTAAAAAGTAAGTAAAAAAAGAGTACGTGGCAAAATCATGACTATTGGATGTGGAGTTTGGTTAGTTTTTAGATTATAATTTTTTTGTGTTATTTTTGCCAATTTCCCTTCATTTTGGTGTATAACCAAAAAAAAAATAAGTAAAAAAAAGGTATGTGGCAAAATCATAACCATTGGATGCGGGGGTTTTGGTTAGTTTTTAGATTATAATATTTTTGTGTTATTTTTGCCAATTTTCCTTTAATGGGTTATTTTGGTGTATAACAAACAAAAATTTAAAAAGTAAGTAAAAAAAGGGTATGAAGCAAAATCATGACCATTTGATGTGGGAGTTTTGGTTAGCTTTTATATTATAATTTTTTTTTTGTTATTTTTGCTAATTATTCTTTAAGTCTTTTTATTTTTTTGAACAACTATTCTTCAAGTCTTTTCTTCATGAAAGACCTTTGAATGTGCCGAGGACCGAGGAAGTTTCCATTTGAATAATTCAACCTTTATTTTCCAAGAAAGAAAAATTGTCAAACGCAAACGATGCCTAACGACGCTAACTCAAATCTGACCTCAGCTTTCTCCAAACCAAAGTCGCAAAAAACCTCTCTTATTTTCAAAATTTATTACAAATCATCAGCTTCAACAATTTCTAGATGTTTTAGGTTATCTATATATGACATCTCTCTAATCTAAATCCCAACATAATCATGATGATGAGGTTTTTCGTGTTCGGGGTTTTCTTGCTATTCTTCGTTCCTTCTCCAATCTCCGCCGGATTTTATTCAAACTCCTCAGCCATCCCGCCGGAGCTCCGTCGTAACGCCACCGAAAACGTCTGGAACTCATTCTTGAATTTCACTGGTTGTCACGCCGGCATGAAAGTCAATGGTCTCTACAAGATCAAACAATACTTTCAACGTTTTGGCTACATCCCAGAGACTCTCCCCCGAAACTTTACCGACGACTTCGACGATATCCTCAAGAACGCCGTTATGATGTACCAGAGAAACTTCCGGCTAAACATCACCGGAGAACTCGACGAGCTCACTCTCAAACACGTCGTAATCCCACGTTGCGGCGTCCCCGACGTAGTCAACGGCACCTCAACTATGCATGGTGATGGAAGAAGAAGGACATATGAAGTCTCCTTCGCCGGACGGGGCCCAAATTTCCACGCCGTCAAACGCTACTCTTTCTTCCCGGGTGAGCCGCGTTGGCCGGACCATAACCGTGATCTAACCTACGCGTTCGACCCGCGAAACGCGTTGACCGAGGAGGTCAAGACCGTGTTCTCACGCGCCTTCGCTCGTTGGGCAGAGGTGACTCCGCTAACATTCACGCGCGTGGAGTCGTTCTTGACCTCTGACATCAGCGTAGGATTCTACTCCGGCGATCACGGTGATGGAGAACCGTTCGACGGCGTAATGGGGACACTGGCTCACGCGTTTTCGCCGCCAAACGGACACTTCCACCTTGATAGAGACGAGAACTGGATCGTCTCCGACAGCGGAGGCGACGGTTTTCTCTCGGTGACGTCGGCTGTTGATCTAGAATCAGTAGCTGTTCATGAGATCGGTCATCTTCTAGGGTTAGGTCATTCCTCTGTTCAAGACTCGATCATGTATCCAACCATCACGACGGGGAGGCGTAAGGCTGATTTGACGAGCGATGACGTGGAAGGAGTCCAATATTTATACGGTGCGAATCCTAACTTCAACGGCTCTAGATCTCCACCACCATCAACTCAACAGCGAGACACTGGCGATTCCGGCAATGCTGCATGTAGAATCGACGGCTCTAGATCGGTTTTGACTAGTCTATTCATGTCGACCGTTGGATTGTTTTTGTTGTATTTATTGTAGATAATTAGTCTCTTATTATTTTATTGAATTAGTTATAATTAATTTACAGATTTTTACACGATTTATTACAGTATTTATTTTGGTAACATTAGAATACATTTTTGTTACCAATTAAGAAAATGGCTAATTTGCTCAATAACCAAATTTTTTTAATAATTATGAAACTAAACAAAATTAACCCATGTGGCATAATTATATCTATTAAAATTAGGTTAATTGGTTAGATTTTGAATTATAATTTTTTTTTAGGTTATTCAACCCAATTTCCCTTAAGAAAAATGATCAAATCTTTACAAAAAAAAGGGATGAAATTTTATTATATAAAAGAGGATGCGCACGATGAGAATGCGARACGTAGGC